TTGCCGCATTTCAGACAGGCGTACGGGCGCTCTCCCGTATGAACTCGGATGTGTTTCTTGCAGTCCGTCAGAGTGAGGAATGTCTTACAGCAGATCTTGCAGGCGTACTTCCTGGCGCCTTCAACCACTAGCACGTTGTGCTCGGAAAGTGCCTTTTTACATTTCGACAGAACATCTGCAGAGGCTCTTGTCAACTGGGGGAGCGTGTTCAAGTTTGAGCTGCCGCCGTTTTGACCTACGGTGACGGAACCCTCAAAGTTTACTCCATTGAGAAGCATTGAGGAGGAAGAGGACGAGGAGGCAGCATCAAATTGCTGAGGGCTGTCTGTAAGTGTTGAAGCACCTTTGGGAGCGATGCGCCGGTATGCTTGGCACCCTCCGGCGCCACCCCTGGATGAACGAGGGAAGGCCTGTAATCCCAAAATGTTTCGCTGGAACTCAAGCGCGAGCTGGTCCACCGATCCACCACGGGACGTTGCTAATGAAGAGGATGATGCTATTCCATCATACAGTGGCCGCAGAAGAAGTGACTCTGGCTGCAGGTCAGAGCAGATCTGTGCATCGCTCGGAAGGAGCTGCAGAGAGGAAGATGAAGTGTTGATGGAATCGGTTGGGAGGAAGAAGCGAGCAGGATCGTGGTCTGCTTGAAACTCTCCGGTTGTAGTGTTGGGAATATTGTCAACACTATTAGCAAGATTAGATGATGCCCCTCTGCCAGCAAAGGCCTTTGCGCTGAGGAAACTGGAGATATGCAATCCGGAGGAGGACTCCAGAGCGTCACTGCAGGAGAGCTCCTCTCCTCTTCCTCCTGCTGCTCCTAAGCCTTTGTTTCCTTTAATCAGCAGCTCAGAGCTGGGCTGGGGATCGGAGTAGCTGCGCTCACTGCCCTCTGGACTCAGCTCCAGCTTTTCTCCAACTGGCTCCACCTGAGGAAACATCACAAGTATTTACAAAGTCCCTTTAATGCAAGTCAGTTCACCTGTCAGCCAGCTTAGTAACACTCCCATGCAACTCATTTCTGCATAGGCAATATGTGTAAGTATGGCTCTAGTAGAATGGCTAAAAACTGAAATCTCTAAAACTGCCAATAATAGTTTCAATAATATATTTTGAACCAGCAATAAAATGAAACAGCAAATGTATTGTAAATGTAGCTTCTTTTGTACAAAAAAGTACAAATCTAGCAAATCACAAGCAAAACTGTAAAAAAAAACAAAAAAAAAAACGAACATTTATTGTAAAATTTGCTCTTTTGTTTGGGTCGTTAAACTTTTTGTAACATTTTTAAAAGACATCTCTATGCTCACCAAGACTACGTTTGATCATAAATAGTCAAAAACAGAAATATTATTAAAATTCAACATAACTTTTAATATATTTTAAAATGTATTTTATTCTAATAAATGTCAAATCATTCTATATGTTGATTTGGAGCTCAAGAATTTTATCAATGTTGAAAACAGTTGTGCTGATTATTATTATTTTGGAAAATAAGGACTCTTTTAAGATACTTTATTAAGCACAAAATTCAAAAGAACACCATTTTTGAATATAATTTTTTTGTAACAATGTAAAGGTCTTTACTGTGACTTTTGATCAATTTAATGTCTCCTTGCAGAATAATAAAAAAAATCTTACTGACCTCAAACTTTTGAACAGTAGTGTACATGTTTTTAACATAAAAAATGAAAATAATAATCAATGAACGAGTCAATCTTGATTATGATCATTAATACAGCATTGCCTCTTGAAAATTTATATAAATTGACTTCGACTTTTCCAAAATGCAGAGGCATGCAGTTTGGGACAATTTAGGTAGCAAAATACTAACTTACCAGGGACAATCTGCCGAAACACTCACAAATCAGGTGGACCTAAAATCCAGTAACAAAATTCATCCGTTACAGTCCCACTAGCTTAATATCAAAAACAATTACCTGGTCACTCCCTTCTGCCTGAGACGTAACATCGCTAGTCTCATCAACAGCCTCAGGTGAACTCAGTGGCTCACTCTTCACCACAACCTGCATGTGCTGCTGCTGCTCCTCTTCTTCCTCACCTCCATTCTTTATCTTCATCCCTTCGCTATGGTGATGGCTCGCATCCGGGTATTCCTCTTTACGTGGCAACAGCAGCGTTTTTTCCGGTCCTGCTCCCCTCCCTCCATCTGACTGAGTGGGAAGCTGCATGTCTTCATGGGTCAGTCCCCTTCGATACTCATCTTGCTCTAGTAAACCTCCATCATGCCCCGGAATGACCCCAGCGACGACCTCATCCATTATTTTACCGTGAGAATCGGGAGACAGAAGCTCCTCTCCACCCACACGCCCCTCCACCTGCGAGGAGAGGCGTGGCCTCCCCCGTTCCGAAGCGATCAGGGACAAGGGCTGTTTG